TTAGAATGACTCTATCATTACCATCTGGTCCATCAGGAAAACCTTTCTGATATCCAATGACTTTACCACAAACTTGAGAATATTCATAATTAACAGGAAAAATTATCCAAGAGCAACTACCTCTGTCACTGACTAGCCTACCACAAGCACGTTTACCATCTTGATGATACAATCTTAATTCAGCAGGACAATTCTCATTACTGTTCTTCATGTCAAGTTTGGCCACTCTTTTCCAACCTCCTCCTGCATTGCAGAAATTATCCATATAACAATAGACACTATAAGGATAACCATTTGGATCAGCTAAAGTATAATAACCTGAAGGACTGCCTGATGAAATTTCAAGCACTTCAACACATGATCGTGGTAACGATGATGGATTAAGCTTTTTATACAATTCATTAAGAGTGGTCTTCTGTGTTTCTGATAAAAGATCTATACGGGTTTCCATAGATTGCATATTCTGAGATGTAGTATTAAGTCTTCCATTGATACTAGTGATAGAGGCATTAAGCATTAGTTCCATACGTTGAAGTATTGTTAAACTTTCAGTAGTGACTACATTTCCATCATATGTAGCAGTATAAAGCACTGCAAATACAATGCACATAGACTGAAACATAGCAGCAAAAGGCAATCCATTCATCAGTGCCATCATAAGACCACCCTAGGCGAGAATTGAATGCGTAGGAAGAAATAAATTCCTAGGGACTAGTAATGCAATCAGTAGAGTAAGCCACTGATTATCGCGCACCATCTATACTCGAACATCATTTCTCACGGTTGGCTGAGCAGAAGGCATTGATAACATATCTGGTGTGTAGACCTGGTGCTCCTTTATTGCTGCAGCAAGTTTCTTCCTGATACTGTCTTTCGCTATAATAATAATATTATTTTTAACGACCTGGGGGCGAAGCCCCCAGGTCGTTCCTATAATTGAATTCACCGTCGCGCTATCTATATAATCTCATAATTATGACATCATCCTTTGATGTGGTTGGGTTTATATTTTTGTATATATACCTGCCATTCAGAAATGCTGTCATCATTATGAAATATATCTTATATAACATACTAGAACTGGTCAATATACAAAAGATATAGACCTTTGGTGGGTGTCCTCGGATGTGATATAGCCCTCGGGCTATATCACATCCTTGGACACCCACCTCAGGTCTATATTTTTGTATATAGACCTGTTTAGTATGATATATAATACACATATATTAGGGTGTCAGCGGGGCTTGCTGGCAACCCTTCAATAATGTTGCACTCTCATCGCATTTTCCTACTTTCATTTGTACTATTATTCTTTGTTTCATTATTGTAAAATCTTTATTAAATTAAATTAAATTAAATATAATTTGTATGTCCACACTTACATTTCTTCTATACATGCTGTATTGGAGAAATAACAAGCCTTAGCAACCATCCGCCCACGCTCCTTTACGTGAGTGGGTGTGGTCACGGTAAACAAAATGGCGGCTTACACATGGGACAAAGTTAAGAGCTTTCTAACAGCAAGAGAGCATAGAGATACTGTCTAAAGACTTCTTTAGAAGCATTATAAGGTAGAGAGAACCTCTATAAGTCTTAATAATGACCAAGTTGTACTTGAAAGGTAGTGAAATCAATTATAGGAATACTTTTTACCCTGTTATGCTTGTTTAAAAATATTTCGGTGACACCTATATTCGCGGGACTGGCCCATTTTTCCGTTTTCACATTATATCTCTGCAGAAGCACAAGATTTAAATGAACTCTATACACTCCAAATATGATACATCTTTGAGCTTTTTTAATGACTGGAGAAAAGGTCCTGTAACTAGTCGCTGTAGTGGTAATAATAAATATAATAACAAGGACAATTAGAATACCCTTCACTTGCAGAAGCTAAAAATAACCAAATGTGAGATTGAGAGGTACCATGAGTTAGAATGACACTATCATTACTGTATGGTCCATCAGGAAAACCTTTCTGATACCCAATGACTTTACCACAAACTTGAGAATATTCATAATTAACAGGAAAAATTGTCCCAGAGCAACTACCACTGTCACTGACTAGCCTACCACAAGCACGCCCACCATCTTGATGATACAATCTTAATCCAGTAGGACAATTCTCATTACTATTAGTCATGTCAAGTTTGGCCACTCTTTTCCAACCTCCTCCTGCATTACAGAGATTATCCATATAACAATAGACACTTTGAGAGTGACCACTAGGATCAGCTAAATTATAATAACCAGAAGGACTGTTTGATGAGTTCTTAAGTACTTCAGCACATGATTGTGGTAAGGATGATTTAACAAGATCTTCTGGATTAAGTTTTTCATCCAACTCATCAAGAATGGTCAGTGTCATGTTATTATGAGACAGAAGAAGTTGACTGTTCATTTGTACTGCTGACAGTACACGGGTTTCCATAGATTGCATATTCTGAGACATTGCGAATTCTGCAGAACGAATGCTTGATTTCATTTCAGACTCGATTGAATCAAGTCTCTCATTGATACTGAAGAGAGAGGCATTGAGCAATAGCTCCATACGTTGGAGTATTGCCAGTCCTTCTTCATTATCATTTCCAGTAGACTCCTTCTTGTACTCAGCCAACAGTTCCTTCAATAGAGATAGCTGGAGGAGACTAGTAATACCAGTGAGAGATGATTCGGTAGAAGAGACAGAGCAGGAACTAAACTGAGAGGTCAGATTATTGAGACCAGACTCAATACGATTAAGAAATGATTGAGAGGGACATTCAGTCTTCTCTAAAGTGTTACCAGATGCAGCAACAGTGGTAACAACCACTGCAATGATAAGAAACACAAGCTGAGACATAATGCAATCACAATGAGGTGAGAATGATCCTGCTTTTGAACAACGTATATCCTTATATTACATGAGAACTGACTGATAAGGTGCAGTTCTGTAATAACTATATTACTATCGTCAGGGTTGTCACTGCCTCTTAAAAGAGATCTAATCTAGTGTAATCCTCGTAGTACTCTTGATTGGGTAGACAGATAAGTACTGAAGTGTCAATGATGATTACACATATCTGTGATTGACGGTCAATTTGAATTATAGTTCTTAAAAAATGAGCATAGTTCACTTTCCAGCATGCTGGTACATTGATTGAAAAGAAACATCTTTCTCTTTATTTTTGAATTAATAATTAATAATAATAATAACAACATGGACATAATAAAATGACACTGTGTGTGTGTGTGAGATATAAAACAGATGGAGGTTCATCATTACTGATTGCTAGTTCTGTTTATAAACTTCTCTCTGCTCATATCCTCTTCCCTCATTTCCTCTTCACTTGAAGACTCTTCCTCCTCTCTCTCCTCAGTCTCATTCCTATTCCTCCAAACCTGAGTCTGAGATACCCTATCCTCCAGTATTATAGTAACGTCACCTCGAGGAGAATCGACCCTGCCCTCTTGACTAAGCTGACTCCGCCCACTCGTCAACGAAATGAGATCGTTAAGAGTGACATTGATATCCTTGAACGCATGCAAGAGAAACACGCCACAGACTATAGTAGCAAACCCACACAACGACCCAACGATATTCTTCGTCGTAAGCTGCTCCCATTCCTTAAATAAAATGGCCGATGATATAATCGTTAAAGTCGTAAACATCACATAGTATATCGGAGTTACCAAGGACGTGTTAAAAATATCCAAGCTCTTATTCAAGTAGTTCATCTGTACTGTTATACAGACAACGACAGCAATTAAAAAGAACCAAGCTAGTGGACTGTAGAGCTGAGAATGGCCCGTCAGTGTTAACTTGATGGCAATACTAAGACCTTTACAGCCCACTACTGTCAGGGAGCCAATGACTGAGCATATCCCAAGATATACTAGAATGTTTGATTGCCCGTGAACAGGTGCGACCCAGTATATGAGGTACACTGATAGGGACACTGCAAGGATTGAGTATGTAGCAAAACCTATAAATATTATTATTATTATCATTAATATTAATGTTATTATTATTATTATTGTTATTGTTGTTATTATTAATGTTATTATTATTGTTGTTGTTTTTGTTTTTGTTGTTATCATTATTATTATTTAGTACACAAGCTCCCTTACCAATGCTAGTCATGTTACGTCCAATAGCCAGGAGGTCATCAAGAATATTCTCCTCTGGTGCGTGGATGATGATGATAGTTGATCCTAATATCGAGAGGACACAACCAATCTTACCATGAATATTAAGATGCTCATTAAGTAGCTGAGACGAGAGAACAGCACTATAAAATATACAGTAAATATACTATAAATATACTGAAAATATACTAATAGTATACTGGAGTATACAAAAGTCTATACTATAAATATACTGTAAATATACTAATAATATACTGGAGTATACAAGGTTAATGTATTACCTTACTAATACGCTGAGTGCCCCTAGAGGTGTGACTAGTATTGCAGGAGCAAAGCCGTAGGCTGTAAAATTGGCAGCTTCTCCAACAGCCACTACAAAAATAAAAGTAACAATGAAAAGAAAGTTATTATTTAGATTTAATTTTACAAGCAATATCTTACTTAAAATAAGACCAGCCCACCACATCCATTCTTTAAGATATGCATACCCACCTTCGCCTACACAAAAGACGAATGAAGTAATATCTAATGTATTAGATTTTTAAAAGTTGCTCAAAAATTGGGCCAAAGTCCCTGTACTACAGTACATGGTCTTGTGCCAAATTTCGGCAAAATTGAAAAGTAGAGAATTCTCCATTTTTAAAATTTTATCTGATGCATATACATGTTCTTATGTTGTGTAGAAAGTTTCAACTAATTCTGATCAAGTTTAGATTTTTTATGAATTTTTAAAGTTGCTCCAAAATCGGGCCAAAGTCCCTGTACTATAGTACATGGTCTCAGGCCAAATTTCGCCGAAATTGGAAAGTAGAGAATTCTTCATTTTGATAATTTTTTCTGATGCATATACATGTTCTTATGTTGCGTAGAAAGTTTGAACTGATTCCAATCAAGTTTGGATTTTTTACGAATTTTAAAAAAATCAAAAACCATATGTATACCACACTATAGAGCTTTCATCCATTACCTGCTCTATTTCGGGAATTTCGAGATATTCTTAGCAATCCTTTCTTCTTTAAAATGAAACTGGAGCCGATGAAGATAGAGGAACTCATCGCCAGAATCAAACCGACAATGAAGTCATGACTGATCTCAACTGGTGCTGGCGTACATGGCAGCAGACTACCTTATAAGGAAAAGAGAGGGTGGGAGAACAAAAATTTATTCATTTTAAAATAACGTCATGTCACGTGTACATATACATGTTACTAAGCAAATAATAAAACTAATAATTGGCTGATTTAATCATTTATTTAATGTTGTTACTGTGTAAGCGATTCCCATCCTTACTGATATTATGAGTGGTGATGGAGTCAGTACCAATTGTAGTTTCTGTGGTTTTGAGAGAGTCTGAGAGCGAGGGAGAGTCACCAATAGGTAGAGGCATTGTTCTGAGGAGCGAGTGATTGTGATAAAAACGAATAAAAGGAGAATTTACCAGGAAACCGAAACTACCTAAAAACTATGAGCCATATTTGTATGACGTTATTTTATGGGCGTGGTCAAAACATTTTTTTGTACGGATAATTAGAGACATGTAAAATTCAAAATGGCCGTGTAAACAGTTTTCAAAGAGCCAACTAAAATGAGTTACCTGAGCGATAAAGAGCTGTACGAGCTGCTTCGATCTCATGGAGAATCAGTAGGACCTATAACCGAAACAACTAGACCTTTATATGAGAGGAAAGCTTTGAAACTGACCGAGAAAACTAAAGCTGGGAAGAGCACACAGGCCAGGAGTAACAGCAGAGCCAAAGATAGATATACTGGCACTGGTGCTGTTATTATCCCTGGGGTTGCTAATATGAGCCCCAGTGTTAGTGGAAATAGAATACGGGATAAAGACCATGAATTTTTAGATGAAATCCCAGATAATGACCACACCCCACCTCGTATCCGTCTCACCGCTCACTCCGGTTGTCATGGTAATAGCGATTTGGATTCAAACTGGGATCATCCTGATAGAAGATTTTCGGGTCGTAGTGAGAGAGACACGGAGGAGAGTAGTATCTCTAACGTTTTTAAGATAATAGGAGAGAATGTCTGGAAAGGTGGAGAGAATGTTTGGCGAGGAGTGGAGAAAATTGTCAATCAAGTGACGGATGTCATTTCGCCCACAGATTCTCAGAGAAAGAGAAGGAAAAATGATCATGATAGTCCCGGGATTTCCGGCATAAAAAGACTAAAATTATTTAATTCAGAAGAGGATGATTATGACTTTGTGTTGCCTTCAGCCCCGCCCATGCCTGTACCTTCTGCTCCACCCATGCCAGAACCTATTCCATCAGCTCCGCCCATGCCGCCAAAGATAATTCCTTCAGCCCCGCCCATCGAACCCTCTCCATTTATCCCGTCTTCTTTCCCTGTACACAATCAGTCATCATCAAAGAAAAAACTAGCTCCTCCTATCATTCACCCTCCTGTTCGTAAACCATCTCCTTCCCCACTCTATCCTAGGCTACCTTCAAAATCCTCTTCTCACAATCCGTCCAGTACACATTACGACTGGGAGCTCTTACCTACTGATGTCCGTATATGCCAACGCCCCGATGGCTCCCAGTGGAAACTCGGCAAAGGAGGTTTTGGCGAGGTCTTTAAAGGTCTAAAGGACGGGATTGATGAGGTGGCTGTCAAAGTCATCCATTTGGTGAACCCTTCGTCCATCGATCAATTCAAATCAGAAATTGATTTAATCAGTAAACTACGCCATAAGCACATCCTCCAGTTTTATGGCGCTTGCATGAAACCCTCGTTCTTCTACATGGTAACGGAATTAATGGAGACTGACCTCTTCTCCGCTCTACGAGATCGCGATAAACGTCTTGTGTACATGTGGTCAGGAAGATACGGCAAAGACGTCCTAATGGGCATAGCCTCGGGTCTCAATTACTTGCACTCTCGCCGCCCACCGGTCGTCCATCGTGACATCAAGAGTCCAAATATCCTCCTTGCGGATAACGTAGCAAAGATTGCAGACGTCGGGATTGCAAGGACAAAAATGGAGTCAGACATGACAGCTCAGAGAGGATTCACGATTGCGTGGGCGGCACCTGAAGTCGTGTATCGGAGACGTGCAACGGAGAAGATTGACATTTGGAGCCTTGGTATAGTACTGTGGGAGGTGGTGACTGGTAAACCGCCAGGACCAGGGCAACTGGTGATGCCTGCTACTTTGAGGAGTGAAGTCAAAAAACTTTACACAGAGTGTACCAGAGAAGACTATAATCAGAGACCTTCTGCAGCTGAAATCCTCATTAGTTTGAAAAAGATTACATAGTTCCTACAGTCCAGTCATTGCGTGCATGCATGATTAGGTTACATGTACTGTGTATATCTGTTGTTGTGTTGTGACTGATTTCCAAACTTTATATCATACATGATACTTGCACCTTTGTATATGCATTAAGAGATCATTCTTTATGACACAAATGAGAGATAGACTATTATAATTGCAAATAAGTGTTTTTGCATTAATTATTTAGACTACACACCCACACACTGAGAGCTAATTCTATTAAAACTATTACAAAGCCTAGCTCCTTTCAGTTTTGCAATCACCCATCTCCTTTGCTTTGAAGCATCTCTTTTCTAAAAATGGATCCTCTTCTGTATGAAAGGGTTCTCTCAACAGGCTCCCCTGCAGTTTACAAGGAATGGTGCAACAAGTATGAAGAAGACTCTGAGCAGCTTGGTTACTCTGGACACAAGAGTGTGGTGTCAAAATGGCAGGACCTTTGCCAATCCTGTCCACCTTCTTCTCCACTGAAATACAAAATATTCGATGCTGGTTGTGGTACAGGATTAGTAGGAGAGGAGATTGCAAGTGTACTGGCTTCATTCCGGGCCAACATAGCACTCTATGGAGGGGATCTTAGCCCTGACATGCTAGAAATAGCAAAAGCAAAGGGCATTTATGAAGAATTGAAGATACTGAATCTCAAAGAGAAGTTGCCATATCCTGCAGAGAGTTTTGACTGCATCCTATGTGCTGGGGTTTTCGTGCAAGGCCACTGTGGGCCAGACACTCTAAATCATATCACAAGAATCCTCAAAAAGAATTGTTTCCTCATTGCAACAATTCGAGTTGCATTTTATGAAGAGAACAAAGAAGCCTGGATGGAAGCAGTTACTACCTGTAACTGTCAGTTAGTGGAGGAGGTACTGATGCCATACCGTTATGATGTGCAAGGCATCACACTAGTAATAAAGAAATGTTAAAAACTCAAGTATAGATTTTATAATATTGTCAATCTAGTTTCTTTTATGTCACAATCTGTTATAAATGCAAGCAATGAGCTGCATAAAGCACAACATACATGCATAATACAATTATTTGCCAAACATGCAAGCTTCTTTGACAGCATAATTACTAAACAGTTCTGTGACTGCCAAATCATTGTATTCGTGGAGCTAAGAGGCAGTAAGTGATGATGTGTAGGCAAGGAGAGATGAATGGGACGAGAAGAATTTATTGTAATCGATTCTTAGCAGGAGTTGAGCTAAATGGGGAGATGAGAGAGAAGTCTTGACATTTGAGAGGATCCGAAACAACAGTGAGGATTGACGACTGAAAGTCTAAAGACACAAAAAATGAGAGGGTAATTATTAGACAAAAGTATATCGTGCTATATAGTATCCACCAGTACATGAAAACAAAGTGCATTTTTGATTGTTTAAATTATATGAAGTACCAGGTAGGGAAATTTAGGACTAGTATACTTTTACTACAATATAAATTACATATGGGCTTCAATTCAAATATGAGCTAGCATACACCTGGCAAGTTTTGTTCCATTTGTCTCCAATAGAAAGACTCACACTTGTATTGGCCCAGGCCCACACTACCTATATTATGTAGTGCTGCATTCTAGACCTAAAGCCAAATAAATTGCAGAAAACTTGTGCTGGTTTTTAGAATAAGAACGGGAGACCTCCTTGATCATACATGTATGGTATATACCTTTGCCATCCTGTCTATATGGGACTTCTCCTTAGAAGTCAATGGATCAGGCATTGTCTGTACAAGAGTATGGAGCTGGTGACACAGATCAATAATCTCATTGAGACCTTGAGATACCTATCATATCAATGATAATAATTAAATAGTAATGCACATGATTTTATACTGGAGGCAATCTAGTGAACAGTTGGGTTAGGAGAGTGCTAAGGTAAACATCGTGGGCGTGTTTGATTGATTCGAAATCATGAGTTGAGTTGATTTTGTTGATCAGTTGAGAGAACTGAACATCAAGCACATCAACCTAAAGAAAGGAGAGGGAGAGAGAGGAAAAGAGAAGAGATATTAAGACAATACCTGTACATAATACTGGAGGTTATCAATCAAGAAAGACATGTGGACCCTCAGTTGCCAGAGTAGCCCTGATCCACGCTGTCTCTTGCTCATCTGAAGGTACCAAGTGTGCTGCAGGGCCATCTGGGCCCGTCTAATACTCAACAAAACCTTGAACAAAGTATTGTACCTGTGGAAAGAGCAGATTAAAATAGCAAATGAAATATTAGATCTTATATTAGATTGTTATTATTCAAACTTGAAGGATATAACTACACATTCTCACAAAGTACATATAGTGAAACATACATGTACATGTACATTTACATGTAGCTCACTTTTCCAGTACAGTTGGAGTAAAGAGTATATGAAGCGGCCATTTTGGTTTATACTCCAGCCCCAAAGCATCCCAACTGTTAGTAACTGGGGCTGGTCTCTTATCACTGGTGGGCGGGGCAGTGGGAGGGGTTTGGACTGTCAATCGGAATTGCTGCAACGAGGAGTCATTATCAATCCCAAGCTTTGTCATTGCTTGTCTGAAGGCACCATTGGCATCTAACAAGAAGATGGAGATAAAAGTCAAAATAAAAATAAAATAAAAAATAATAATAATTCTTAGAGAATCATTGTATAGCATTTATTAGCTCACCGTGCTGTGTTGCATTTGAAGGAGGGAGGCTCATGAAGGAACTTGAAATGTCAAGAAAAGTTAGAAACAGTTCGCCTCTACCAAGCAAATAATGATCCTTCATAACCTGAAGACTACCTAAGAGAAATGTATTATTAGTATTATCATCAAATATATTTATCAGCAACAAAATCAATAAAGCATGTGTATTATAATCATTATTGTTGTTGTTGTTGAATTACTTATTAGATCTGCTTCTTCCACCAACAATAGCCACAGATGCTACAGAAAGGCACACACCCACTCATTCATAAGTTACAGACCCAACACCACAAACTGACCTCAGCAACGATGTCTCTTATCTGACTGGCACAACTCTCAAATCCTCTCAAACTAAACCCGGTCTCCTCCTCCTCTTCTTTCTGCTGTAACTCACTCAACAGCTTCACAAACTTCAACTGGTGAGAGCTGAGCTGCCTCGCTATGAGAAGGAGACACAGCTGATCAAACACAACATGATATAACTCACCGGAGTGGCTGGAGAATCGTTCTTGAGTGTTTAGAGCCGAGAGAGGAGAAGGGTCCTTACTTAAAAAGACTTGAAGAGCTTCGCCAATAAATAATATCTAGAAAAATAAATAATTATTATTATTAATCAAATCAACAAACTTTTTCAGCAACTCTAGGCGGTATGTAAGTTGGTAGGAACTCGTGTTGGATCTGATACCTGCGTAAAGTAGGAGAGACCTGAAGTAGGATAGAAAGTAAGATCGAGGCCAGTCAGTGTTATACTTGTTTCTCTTCTTCCTCTTCCTCTCTCTGAGCAGGAACTGCAGCTGCTGCTGGCGTAACGGATACTGCAATAAAGAATTCATTGTAGTCATCTTTTAAGGAGCCGTGGACCATCCAGGAGGAGAGCTGTTTGTACAGTACACCATGACAGGCTCTGAGGAGACTAGAGAAAGAGAGAGAGAGAGAGAGAGAGAGAGGAGGCATAATAGTAGAAGACAATACAGGCAATATGTGTATGTACATATACAATGAATATTAAATGTTAAGTGCCTCTATATAATGGACACTTTAGAATAGGAAAGTGTCTCTGTTATACAGAGGTCAGAGGTGTCCTTTATGTGGAGGCTATTCTATACAGTAAGGAATGTAATTGGTACACTAGGTGCTGTCCATTAAATGGAGGCGTACGCTATAGAGAGTGTCCATTAAGAGAGACTATAGTAATGTACATGTATGTGTGAGTTGGTATTATTGGCCTCGCCTACGCGAGGTATAGGTAGTTGTTGTGTCTGTCTGTCTGTCATTCATTCTGTACAACTGAAATTTGTTTTTAATAAACAATAACTTTAGCACAGCATGTTTCAAGCTCCTAGATCTTTCTTTTTGGCGTGGAAAAGTCTTTCTTAACTGTTTTGTGTTGCTCAAATACAAGTGCTAGGTATAGAAGCTTCAAAGTAAGAAAATCGAGCAGTTGGGCCAAGTTCCGTTGTGTTGGCACTTTAGAGATAGATGGTAGCATTTTTCAGTAGATTAGAACATGGCCTTCAAATAATATGAACAGATTTCTCTAAATCTTACTTGATGAAGAGTTATACTTACTTGAATTTGTTGAGGTCACTCGTTTGTGCAGCGCTAGAGCAACAACTAGCTGGGTTATAGGTACTAAAGTACCTATACTATCTCAAATATACAAAGGCAGCAACTTTTTTTGTCAGCAAGTTTATCATATATTGCTGATTAGTAAAGAAAAAGTGAAGCTTCTTTCTCACATGGTCTTCTTGCTGCCAATCATGCCAGTATGATGGAATGCCACACCTTTCAATCTACATGCATGGGAGGGGCTGGAGCTGCTTGCATGTATGTGCTGCAGTGCTGCTACTTCTGCAGGTATTCAAGAGCAAGTGCAACTGTAGGAAGCTAGTGTTGAGCAGACTCTCTTCATGCTGATAATCAAACAGCTATTGCAGTGCAGGCATGCACCATAGCAGCTATAGGGGCGAGGCCATGCACCGTAGGTGTCTCGTGTTGTTAGTTTTTACTTTTCATAGCATTTCTTGAGTGAAGGGACACCACAAGCAGTTCTTTCATAAAGGCAGCTGAGAATTTGGCAGCCATGAAGCTAAAAAGGAGAAGAGGATTTGAAAAAGAGGAAGAAAAAAGAATAAGATTTTATGATACCTTGCAGCGAATTATGTGTCTCACAGTAGTATCAAGTGATGGCAGAATAAACTGGAACTAAAAGAAAAAGAATGAGATATACTAAGCTATACATGGTCAATGTACATGCAACTATATGTAATGGCCGTAACTTGAAAAATAGATGCCAGAATCAGCTCAAGCTTGCTACACAGCATAAAGACATCAACATGTATCAAAAAATGTAATAAAAATTGGGGGTAATTTCGGAGCCATTTTTTGGAAAAAACCATGGGCTATAGCCTTGGGTATTTTTCAGATTTTTGGCATTTTCTTAAAATGGCCATAACTTTAAAAATTGAAGTCGGAATCAGCTCAAACTTGCTATACAGTATAAGTACATCAATATGTATCAGAAAATGTAATAAAAATTGGGGGTGATTTCAGAGCCATTTTTTGGAAAAAACCATGGGCTATAATAGCCTTGGGTATTTTTCAGATTTTTGACGCTTTCTTAAAATGGCCATAACTTGAAAAATTGAAGTCGGAATCAGCTCAAACTTTCTACACAGCATAAGTACATCAATATGTATCAGAAAATGTAATAAAAATTGGGGGTGATTTCGGAGCCATTTTTTGGAAAAAACCATGGGTTATAGCCTTGGGTATTTTTCAAAAATTGGCCTATTTCTAAAAATGGCCATAGCTTTAAAAATTGAAGTCAGATTCAGTTCAAACTTGCTGCACAGCATAAGTACATCAATATAAATCAGAAAATGTAATAAAAATTGCGGGTGATTTCAGAGCCATTTTTTGGAAAAACCATGGGCTATAGCCTTGGGTATTTTTCAGATTTTTGACGTTTTCTTAAAATGGCCGTAACTTGAAAAATTGAAGTCGGAATCAGTTCAAACTTGCTACACAGCATAAGTACATCAATATAAATCAGAAAATGTAATAAAAATTGTGGGTGATTTCGGAGCCATTTTTTGGAAAAACCATGGGCTATAGCCTTGGGTATTTTTCAGAAAATGGCCTATTTCTAAAAATGGCCATAGCTTTAAAAATTGAAGTCAGATTCAGCTCAAACTTTCTACTTAGCATAACGACATCAATAAGACGAAGTACATGTATTATGTACCTGCTCGAATCTGTGCTTTATGTGTGAGAGAGGCAAGTGAGGATCAGCAATGCACTAAAGAAGAAAAGGTAAAGATTAAAGAAAGAGACCACAAATTCACTACACCACCTCTTGTTCCACCTCCACCAATCTCATCCTGTAGGGTTCCAACACATTATTAATACCGAAACCTAATGCTCTTAAATATAAACCTATAAAAACAAACAAATTAAAAAAATAAATTACAATTATCTTTGTTTACCCGATTGGTTTTCTTCTGAATCAGGGGGTGTGGCCAAATTAACAATGGCTGACGTTTGCTTGCTGACGAAATCGATGAGGAACTTATAGTAAGAGCCCAAGGAGACAAGCCCGTTAATTAATGATACTTCGCTCGGATGTATATAAGGAATATCAGGAATAATCTAATAGGGGGAGGAGTCAAGTATAATTATAATTAATAATAATAATAATTATTATTATTATTAATTTTTTGCTGTTTTACTTCATAGTGTCCTGTTTCTCTTGAGGTCATAAACACGTCCCCAGGACATCCTGACAGCGTCAAGAGTATCTCGTGGTGCATGGTCTAATCTACAAAACAAATGAAAAAAAAACATCAAAAACTTACATGCTAATTATAGATGGGCGTGGTTAAGTGGGAGGGGTTAGGTGTGGCTAATTTTTAACCCTTTCAACTAAAAGTAAGAAAGCTTTTACATAATTTTTTATTTTTTGTAATTTTATAGCTGCTCAACCTGCTTCATGCCTAGCAATAGGACATTAAAGAATGCTGGCCTTGCTGCTGGCTTCCTAACTCTCCTTGGAGCGGCTCTTTACTCAGTCATCATTTATCCAAAGCTCCACCCTGAAATCTATAGTAAATTCAATGATAGAATGGATTAACAAAAAATCATTGTGATATTGTTCTTTTAATACTATGTATATACCGGACATTTTACAATTACAAATTTTATATAGTAGACTGTAGCTTCAATAATAATAACATTGTTTGTATTGTACTTGTAAACGAAAATAAACTCTTTTCCATTTATATAATAGGAGAAAAGCAAAAGTGGATACGTGATAAAGTTCCATTGGAGAAAACTCAACCAGGAGGTAGACGATTATTTATTGATTATTGATTATTTGTTTTTTTGATGTACAGGTATGAAGGTCTGGACTGATCCATTTGGAAGAAAGGACTCAAAAAAATAAAATCAAAAAAATCCTTTTAGAAGAAATGTATTATTATACTTAATCGTATCAATTGCATTAAAATTATTAGTGTACTTTTATGTGAAGTTGGAAACCTTAATGACAATAGACAATAGATTTACAAACGGGTCTAAATAATCTTGTCCATATGATAAAACACTGTAGTTTATGATGGAGGTTAGTGTTGCATTGGTTAAAATTCAGTTTTGTATGACCAGTGCGTGCTGTTTTCATTCTTTCTAATTTTACCTTCCAAGTGCTAATAGCCAACATTTCGTAAATGGATAAAATTGGTAACACCTGGTCAAACTTGTGCATTTGTTACACTACATCTCTTTCTCACTATAATAATACTGCTTCAAGTTAAATCAGTCATCTTCAAATTACTACTGTATTGCCTATACTATCAGCTCTCTCTTTGCTGGACTTGAAATCTCTCCTTGACTCTATCATCTTCATTTGTCATATACTTAAGAGTCCATGGCTACAGCAGCAGATACACTGTTGCTAGCTGAATCCAGTGACACCATTACTGGAGGTAGCAGTGATCATAGCATAAGGACACTGACACCACAGACTGCACAATTCACAGAGCCAGTTCTGAGTCTTCTACTTGATCCTATCGTCTCCTATGATGACTTGCTCAGAGATGCAAAGATGAAACTCAACAGGCAGAGAGCAGCAAGCAGTGATGATATATTGGGTCCAAAGCAAATAAGAAGACAGGGTTTGCGTCAATATTCATCTCTAGAAGCTCTTAATCTGGACATCATAGCAACCCCTTTAAGACAAAGCGTAACGCAGCAGGCATTGCAACTATGGAACTGTATCTTGGTCTACTTGAAGACTAATATCAACTGTAGCAGGAAACAGCACAAATTCAAATATTACAGCAATTGTTTCTTTGGATCTGAAGTCATTGCTTGCTTGAAGGCTTATCTGGGAAGGGATGTTGCAGAAAGCAGCTTGCATGTAGTGAGTGACAAGTTGCTTCATGCTGGTGTGATAGAGAGAGTAAATGAAGGAAGTGGAGAAAGAATACTCTCATTCAATCCAAGTGCACTATACCAGTTTAAAAGCACAGAGAAAAGTAATGATCAGAAGACAGCTACTGCACAAGTGAGTATTCATATAAAAACAAAATTAATAACAAGAACTGTACTTCTCTGTAGCCCAATTCTTCCACTAGACGGAAAAGATTCATTCCATTTGGATTGCAAGCCTCAACTTTGAAAGCTATGTTCAACATATGGCAGCTGTGGAAGAAGCACTTGTCTTCTTTAAGAGCTAACAGAAATAGACAAGAAGACCATCCAACTGGCACTGCTGCAGCAGAGGGTAAAGGAAGACAAGAAAAGAAAAGAATGTCAGAGCCTCATTGTAAGAGACATGTTTACACTGAAAACTACAGCAGGAAGAGGAAGCCCACACAATTAAATAGCTCATCTTCAATGACAGAATTTCTAGAATACAAATCAGGACAGCCTGATTGGGTTGTGTATGGGTTTCTTTGAAGTTAAAAGATTTCTATGATGAAATATGTTTGTTTTTACATCAATGAAATGCATGACAAGCTCTACTGACTAGCCTTAACATTTGATCATCTTGCAATGCATGCATAGTGACACCATAGGCACTTTATTACAAGTGTCTATGGTTACACCTCTTTCAATTATTATGTAATGTGGTCAAGTTGTTTGCAAACAGAAGCTTGTATCATAAGTCAGGCAAAAGCAACTCAGTTGACAGTTAATCTGACCCCTAGTACACTATACAGAATGGAAGAAGAATACATTGAGAACAACAACTTCACTCTAAGTGAGGACATCAATGGACCACTGTTAGCTGCTGTGATTGGAGTAGAGATGGTAGCCGGACTCATTGCTAACATTTTTGTACTTACCCTGAGCTGTTTTCATTGCGAAACTTACAAGAAGCCATCAACCATATTCCTCACCAACATGCTTGTTGCCAATCTCATCATTATTGTAGTGGTGATGCCATTCTCCATTGCAACTTGTGTGAGTGGTGAGTGGATATTTGGAAGCACAGTCTCATCAAAACTAGCTTCCTGTGAAGCTATGGGTACTCTATTTGGATGGAGTACTCTCATTGCAACAGAAAGCCTAGTCCTGCTTTCTTTTGATCGCTTCTTCTTCATTGTGAAAGCTGGGAAATATAATGAGCACATGACTGTCAAGAAAGCACTCATCATAGTTGCTGCATCCTGGATACTGGCTGCCATATTGGTCAGCCCACCTCAGTATGGATTTGGGGGTTTTGTTTTTGCCAACAGTTATGGTCTTTGTGGCCCTAACTTTAGGAGTGTTGGGTTTTCAGTCTATGGTTTTTTCATCATTGGAAGTCTCATCATCAGCATAGTCGTTACATCACTCTGGACTTATTGCTATACAAAAAAATTCATCAAAGAAATGAATTCAAGAATGTTAAGAGAGAGCGTATATTTTTCTCAGCATACAAAACTTGTCGGTATCTTTGGGACTCTCATCATCGTTCACATTTTTTGCTATTCTCTGTTTCTTTCTGTTAGTGTCGTTCGACCATTTGTGGCCATACCTCGTCAACTCTGGGCCACTACACTTGTCTTCCTACTATTAATAACTATTCTCAGCCCACTAGTTCAGTCCTACTTCAGAAGTGAAACGAGGAACTTCATACAAAATCTCCTTCTAAAGATCAGACTATCAAAATCACATCCCACACTTCCAACTAGAATGACAGTTACTTCTCTAATCAAATTAAAAGCTCCTTCCCAAACACTAAGCGAATAAACATTGCATGATTTTTGTTACTGATTCCTAGTTAGTTCTATTATACCGTGTAGTCTGCATAACTTACCATAATTTGTGTGTTAGTTTTTAAATCACAACAACATATGCCACTAAAATACCATTTAAGAGTATTGTAATGTAGTCACACTCATTGTGTGGTCATTTACTGGTATGCAGTGATAATTGATGCTACTATGATGTAGTACGGACCGTTATGATCCATACTATGGACCATGTATGGGTATGGGTCATAGTATAGACCGTTATGATCCATACTATGGATCGTGTATGGGTATGGGTCATAGTATGGACCCTTATGATCCATACTATGGATCATGTATGGGTATGGGTCATAGTATGGACCGTTATGGTCCATACTATGGATCATGTATGGGTATGGGTCATTAGTTAGGACTTTTTATTAGTTACACTGCTTGGACTAGATTGTGGTTAGTAAGCAATGTAGTTTAATCTATATTTCATCTATATAAGACGATTGATATAATTAAGTTAAAAGGATCACAAAAGAACAAAGAGTAAACAGATGCAATTATGGTTAAAATGTGTACAGTTATGTGATGTTAAGTAACTTTAATGAATAATGCTATCACTTTGACAGCTGTACAACTGCAACCACTAATCATGTAATAGCGCCAAATTTAGTATGGTATAACATCCTATACTGAGTCATTGTTTACCTAATGGAAGTGTAATTGAATTATGTACGTCTGATGGCACTCTAATAAGTGAATGAGTGGGAATTCCTCTGGGCATCATGTTACTAGCAAACTGCATACACTTGCATATGTTGTGTGTAAATTCTTATTTGCGTTGTATGTACGTATGTATCAATTGTTTTGCTTTATTGAAGCTGTTTTGGAACTTATGTTGGTTGCATGATGTACTAGCAAGTACAATGTATATATCTAGCTTGTTATTATTCAGCCTCAGCTCATAGGCTTGACTTTAATTTCATTTATTGTGGTAATCAAAGTCCAAGTGACAACTCTTTCATGCTCACTCTTAATCAGCTCTTTTTATTTATTCCCAATGTATGGTTACACCTCTTCTAGATATTGTATTAAGCTTAATATGGTGCAAACAGAAACTTAATTGCACCAAGTCATTCAAAAGCAACTTGGTTTGACAGTTTGACCTCTATAATACACTGCAGAATGGAAGAAGAATACATTGAGAATGACAACTTCACTCTAAGTGAAGAAATCAATGGGCCACTGTTAGCTGCTGTGATTGCAGTAGAGATGGTAGCTGGACTCATTGCTAACATTTTTGTACTTGCTCTGAGCTGTTTTCATTGCGAAATTTACAAGAAGCCATCAACCGTATTCCTCACCAACATGCTTGTTGCCAATCTCATCATGATTGTAGTGGTGATGCCAGTCCCCATTGCAACTTGTGTGAGTGGTGAGTGGATATTTGGAAGCACAGTCTCATCAAAACTAGCTTCCTGTGAAGCTATGGGCACTTTGTTTGCATGGAGCACTCTCATTGCAACAGAAAGCCTAGTCCTGCTTTCTTTTGATCGCTTCTTCTTCATTGTAAAAGCTGGGAAATATAATGAACACATGACTGTCAAGAAAGCTCTCATCATAGTTGTTGCGTCCTGGATACTCGCTACCATATTGGTTAGTCCACCACAGTATGGATTTGGGGGTTTTAATTTCGCTGAAAGTTATGGCCTTTGTGGCCCTAGCTTTAGGAGTGTTGGCTTTTCAGTGTACGGTTCTGTCATCATTGGAAGTCTCATCATTAGTATAGTCGTCACGTCACTCTGGACT